AAGGAGGCAACAGCAGATTCAGCATTTCCCCTAAACCAGTACTGGTCCCATCCTACCCGCCACCACCTCTCTGTGTGTCCCAGGCCATGCTTCTTTAGCAAAGCCTGTCCAACACCCCAGGTGCTGAGTGCCACCCCCCCTCCCCCAGCAGACCCTCATAGCACATATGCATTTCTCCATTATGAGCGGGTAGCATACTTGCATTAGAACTCCTCACCAAACTATTTGAAGGGTCGTATCACAGTTCTTTCATTTCCACACGTTTAGCATCTAGAAAAGGACTCTCAACTTTCTTTTAGATGGGTAAATTAGTCATTGAATGCAAGTTAATGCAAGGCTAACTTATGCTCAGAAAGTTCTAATTTAAACTGGCGTCACAGCCCTTCCAAAGTGGGGAGCCAATATCTTGAAGTCTGATCCTTTCTCTTGTTGAGGCAGGGGGAGGGTGTGAGAAGGGGGAAAACTGCAGCAAAGACGACAGAGCTTTTTTCCTGACATCAACTCAAAGGGAGAGGATGGGAGTTATTGTACGGACTCTCAAAAGGGGGACCACAGACCCCTATCACTCACAAACTCCTCACAGATTACCAACTGCAAAGCAACTTGCTACAACAGGGGGATTCCTTTTGAAGAGGTCATGCCAAAATCTGGTCATGAGGCTTTTCCATGTGAAGGGAGCAAAGGGGGTATCTGGGGATTGTCCACGAGAATCTGGGGATGGCTCCAACCGCACAAACAGCTGTGGGCCACAGAATGCTTGCTCAGCTCGTTAGCACCTGCTGCTTACAGTGACCATTCATCCAACAGACTGGCCGTGAACGAGATGATGGGATCAGCGGGTTCATGCCCCAGAGAGCTTTGCTCATCATTAACATGAGCTAAGTCCTGTTCAGGAACCATTCCTCTTGTTGAAGAAACATTGCAGTGTAATATGATAAACATTTCCCCATCACGAGTGGAGATCTGCCTAGAAAGATCGGCACAAAGGTGGCTGCATTTTGCATGAGTCATGTGCTGGGAAGGGGTAGGCACCACTAAAAACTAGTCCCACTTGAGCCTTCAAGTCATCGTGGGGTATTTGCCTGCTTCACTATAAATCTCAAAGGCCTCTGACGTCTGCCTTTCATGGTTTAAGTCCTTCCTTCTTCTCAAGGGTGGGATTACCTGTTTATAATGCCAGTGATTACTATGCACCTTGGAATTGGGTAGAGAGCAAGCACGAGTTTAAACATCTAGTTTGGAGGGAATTTCCCCTACCCTCAAAGTTAAATTCTGTTCCCCCCTGCTACCCAAAATCATGCACCTCAGCCCCTGGAAAGTTGGGAATGGCAGCCAGAAGAAGGCAAGTCGCATCACTTTGGCCGATGTGAGAGGGGAGCCTAGCCCTGGAAATTCCACAAAAACTCAGAAAGAGAACAGTACGTCCCCCACCTCCCACACGTCCACCTCTTCTGTTCTCCTGAACAAGCACAAACAAGACAGAGCAGTTTAGTACGCTGCTTCTGAAAGCGTGAGTAATGGGCTTCTAGGAAAGAGGCCAGTGGTGGCTAAGGAGAGCTCACGAGGTTGTACTGACAGAACCAAAGGATGGAGGCAGCCATGTGCTTGCCTTGATCTGCGTTTAATGGGGCTACAACTTTAAAAGGAAACAGCCAGCACCCTGATCCTATTCTCCCCTTTTAAAAAGGCACAGTGGAAGTCCTTACCTATACTCACCAACAGCCTGCTGGATAACCAAAGCTGCCAGTGTTACCTTAGGAACCCTTTTGGGAATCTACTCTCTCTCCCTCTGTCCTTTGTCTGCAAACTCCTCTCCTCCAGGAAAATTCCTGGGCCTCTCTCCTTCAGACTTCTTCCTCGGCAAAACTGAAAGAATTCTGCTTCTCTTTCAAAGCTGCTCTTCTGGTCTCACACTCTAACCTTAACAACTGTAGAGTAGCTCACGGAACCTGTTCCCATAAAACAAACACAATCAATCCCTCCCAGTTACTGGTATAACTCGGTATATTTTCATCCAAAGATTCCTTCTGGCGCCTGATCTGAAGAGGGAGGCAGCATGGAAAGAACCTTGGACTTGCTATCAGGAGAGCTGCCACTTACTGGCTGTGAAACCATGGGCAGGTTACTTTGTTTCTCTGAATCTCCTTTTCTCAATTTCTAAACTAAAGATTTATTCTCCTTACCGATAATAGTCTCATGGAGGATGAAGTATCTGATATAAAGTGTGTGAGTACATGCAGTGCCGTCTCCGAGGTCTACACTGTGTCTGCCTCTTTTCCGCACGGGGCCTGAGTAGTACTTCTTTTTTTTCCCCCTTTAATGTTACTTCTCAGGCCTCTGAGTGAGTTTCCTTCCCTTCACAACATCTCCCCAGAATGCAGCCTTCCCCTTTTCCCTCACAGTCAACCCACAGCACATCCCCTCTAACCAGTAGCCCCTGCACTCCCCTCCTCCACCACCACATCCTGGGCCACCGTTCTCTCACCTCAGGAATCTCTTCTATTACTAAGGCTCTGTACCCCAAACACAAATGCTTTCTAAAAACTCTCGAAGGCCCTCTCTGGAAGCTGAAAGGAGACAAACTGCTCCCTAGTCTGTCCTGCTGTGTGCCATGATGCCTGCTGCCCTCTGACGAAACCATAGTTTGTATGGTGTTACATCATCTCTATAGAAACTGCGTTCTTTCTCCATTATTAGCCTGTTTCCTCATCTGTAAAGCTAAAAATACTTACCTCACAGACTTGTTGTGAGGATTATTTTAGTCAGGTATGCAAAGGGCACAGCACAGGGCTTGGCTTGCTCTAAGTACCCAACAAAAGGCAGCTATTATCTTTGTCTTTGTATTCAGTTGCACGTTTCTATCCCACCTTCTGCTGTGGCAGGAAATTCTCCCAACCCTCCCAAAACTGTGGAGAAGGAGCCCCCGCCAGCACCCCCGCCCCTCCCCGGCCGCCGCAGCAAGGAAAGGGTTAATCTCTAAGTGTTCTTAACTGGAGAGACCCATAGAGGATTAACAGCTCTTCAGGGACTACCCTAAAATAGCTTTTATCCCTCCAGCCCAAGAGCTACTTGGGGATCTGAAGAACTCAATTCAACACCTGCCGAGGAGGAAACACACCCGGGAACACACCCTGGAACGTTCCTTAGGGTGGACAGAATCTTCCCTTAAGCAGAACCCAAAATAGTAACTGGGAAATTATAAATAGACTGAGAGAAAAAAGAAAAACAAAAAACACAAAAAAACCCAGGTCTTGACCTGAGCACCAGAAACAAATCCAAATGACACACTGACTGGCTGGAAAACAGTGAGAAGGAAAGGGGGGAATGAGAAGAGCCGCCCCCCTCCCTCCCTCCCTCACACACACTCCAGAGTGGTGGGAGAATTAAATTACAGGGAGGCCAGAGAGTTTCAATGACTTGCATCATTCCAAGAGACATCAAACAGGATTAACAGGGGTTGGATTTACTCTCGGGCTGCTAGTTCTTCTGTCACTGTAGATGGGCCCTCTTTGCAGTCCCTTTGATTCACTCTTTCCTCCCATTCCCGCTGCCTCTCACTCCTGAGGAGGCCTTGAGCAAATGGCTGCAACTCACTACAGCCCCATTTTCATTACGAGGAAACCTGGCTAGACACTCCCAAGGATTCCCCCCAACAATGGAGTGGCCTCATTGTGGGGAGCAGGGTTAGAAATCCAAGGCCAGACTATCACAGTCCCAAACAGGTGGAAAAGCATACAAGCCAGGAGACAGGCTACTCTTGCTGGTGAAAGCACCAACAACCACCCCCCACACACTAGTTGTCCCCTTATCTTCCACCTTACAGGTCCCTTTCCTCCACCAAGCTGGAGCGGGAGCCTGGGACTGGATTTACAGGGAATAACCAGGCTCCTCGGGCAGCTTCTAGACCACACCACTGTGTGGTGGGAGAGGTTCAATTCCCTGGAGCTGGAAGAGACAGGAGAGATGGGAGTGGACGCCTGCCAGAGAAGGGACAGAAATTCAGGGAGAAGTCTGGAGGAGGTCTCAGGGATGGGAAGGAAGGGAAAGTATGATAAAAAATCATTAGCAAGTTAGCTGAGTCTCTAAGGGATCTCCCCCTTCCCTCCCCCCCAAAAAAGAAAGAGATGGTGGATTATAAGGGCTGGAGGATTCCAGGGGTTGAAGATAGTCAGAAGTGAATTCTCTGAATTTCAATGGTCTCAAAAGGGTAACCAGATGGATGATATCTAAGGTTTGGGAGTATAGTCACTGAGGAGGAAATTATAGGTAGAGCTTACTGGGGTTCCCCAGAACCAGATATTTGACGGAAGCCTCAAAATGGATTACGTGATTCTGGAAAATGAAACAGTAAAAAACGGAGTATTTGGAGCAGGAAAGGGGGTTATGTGGGTCCGGGTAGGCGTGTCTGAGGGGAGGGAGCAGGTGCAGCTTATCTGCGTCCCCCAGACCCGGGTCCCTGGTAAGGTCAGCAGCGCGTTATCTGGGTCTCCAGGGAACCTAGGGGTCAAGAGTAGGGGACCCTCAGGGCTGAGTCTCCGGGTCTCGGTAGGGAGGGGACCAGTGGGGTTTCTTCCGGTCCCCCGACCCAGGTATCGGGTCCGCGGAGAGATTTCGTCACCCTGGGGCCTATCGGGGCCCGACCTGGCGTGGAGGGGGCCCCCGGTTGGGGGTGTGGGCGACCTAGCCGTGGGGCCCGAGATGAGAGGCGCCGCCGCTCCGGGTGCCGGGCGCGCGGGCGCAGCGAGACGGCCTCCCGCCCCGCTCCCCGCCGTCCCCCGGGGCCCTCGCCGGCACTCACCGCGCTCGGGGCCCCGCGCTGCGGGCCGGGCCGCGCTCGGGCTCCGCCAGGCCCGTTCAGGCCCCGGTAGTGGCGGCGGTCGGGCCATTGTGCGGTGCATTGTGGGAGCCGCGCGAGCGGGCGCTCGGGCCGTGGAGGGGGCGGTGCCGCGGGCTCTCTATGGTCCCGCCCGCCCGCCGGCTAGAGCGGCCGGGGCGGCGCGCGGGCAGCGCGCGGGGACCGCCGGGAGCGGGGCGGACGCCCGCGTCCCTCTTCTCCCCGCCTCCGCACCGCGGCGCGCTCGGGCTCCGGAGCCGTCATGGGCGCCGCCGCGTGGGCATCGTCCCCCTTGCCGCTGCGTGTGTCTCTCTTGCTGCTGATTCTGCCGCTCCCGGGGCTGCCCGCGGGCTCCTGGGACCCGGCGGGTTACCTGCTCTACTGCCCATGCATGGGTAAGGCCTCCCGAGCCTTCTGCTCGAATGGGGAAACTGAGGCCCAGAGAGGAGAAGGCCCTCTTCTGAGGCGCCCAGAGATACCTTGACATGTCCAGGAGAGAACCCCAGCGCGGGGCATGGCCTGCTCCTCGCCTCTCTGCCTCAGTTGCAACGGCCCCGAGGGGCCTCTGTGTCCAACCTTCCATTTGGCAGATGAGGATACGGAGACCAGGAGAGGTTATGTGTCTTGTGCAAGGTCTAAGCCAGCCCAGAGTTCAGTAAATGGAGTTAGCGGGGCAGGACTTGGTGTCACTGACTCAACGTTGGCTCTGGACGATTCTTTCATCGTTCAACAAATACTTAATAGGACCCCTACTCTGTGCCCGGGACTGTTTTCTGTTCTGGGGATACAGCAGTGGTAAGACAGAAAATGCCATGCCTTTGTAGAACTTTCATTTTAGCTAGGAAAGACAGACAATAAAAGATACACACAATAGACAAAAGATACGGACAATAAAAGATAAAAAATGAGTAATTATACATAGTATCTTAGAAGAGGATGAACACTATGGGAAAATAAAATAGAGAAGAGTAATGGAGAATCTAAAAGCTGCAATTTAAATGGGATGGTGGATTGTCATTGTAAAAGTCATTCCTTCTTAAAACCCTCCAGACTCCAGACCCTGATGATTTGGCCCTCCGCCCATCATTACTACCACTCCCTTCTCCCCAGATCCTCCAGCTGTAGCCACTCTTATTCCCTCTCTGTTCCTCACACATTTTCAGGTTCTGAAACCTGTGCTATTCCCTCTGACTGGAAAAGCTTCCTCTTCACTTCTGCCAAGTCAACTCCTTCCCATTCTTAGGTCTCAGCTTAAATGTCACCAGAAAGGGCTTTGATGACCTCAACACAAATAATCTCCACCTAACTGTTCTCTATCACCAAACTTTTTCCATTTCTTCCTTGAAATTATCAGAATTTACCACTATATACTCGTTTACCACTATATACTTGTCTCTCTCGCTGGCCTGTGAGTGCCTCGAAGGCAGAGACCTTATCTTTCTTGCTGAATCCTGTATTCCAGCACCAAACAGAGAGCCTGGCACATTGTGGCCTCTCAGTATTTGTGGAATGAATGAATGGATGTCATGCGGGGGCTAACGAAAAGAATCAGACAGGGTCCTTGCTCCTGAGGTATTCACAGGCTGAAGAAACAGCCAGTACAAAGGCCAGAAAGTGGGAAAGGACATTTGAGGAAAAGCGAAGAACCATAAATAGTTCCAATCCAAAGTGGGAGGCAGAGGAGGGGATTGAGTATAGCAGGGAGTTGATGAAAGGATTCCAGTGAATGAGGTGTTGGAGTTGCCCCTTCATGCACAGATGAATGGAGATAGAGGTGGAAGGGCACCCTTGGATGAAAGAAAACAGGAGCAAAGGCATGGGGTCAGGATGGGAGGTGGCAAGGAACCTAGAGCGACTGAGGCAGAAAGGTAGGACTTGAGGGCCTTGAGTGTTAGACCCACGAGTCCAGACTTGATCCTATGCTGCCAGCTCCCCTGGCTCTCCTTGGTGTCCTGGCCCTCCCCACCCCTGGCCCTGCATCCTTTCCAAATCCTGCATGCCCCATGCCCTCGGTGTCCCAGGCCTCACCTCAACCACCATATACCATCCAGGGCGCTTCGGGAACCAGGCTGATCACTTCTTGGGCTCCCTGGCTTTTGCAAAGCTGTTGAACCGCACCTTGGCTGTACCCCCTTGGATTGAGTACCAGCATCACAGGCCTCCCTTCACCAATGTGAGTACCTCCCCTTATCCATCGTACCCCAGTCCTGCTTACCCCCTCTTGACACCAAGTCCTTCTCTGGGCTTTACCTCCTGCTCCTCTGAGCCTTCCCCAGTCCCCACCCCAAACTGTCTTCCCTGGCTAACTGACTAACACTTATCCAGTGCCTTCTGTCTGCCAGGCACTGTTCTGAGCACTGCATTAGGACTAGCTCTTTTCTCCCTTATCACATTCCTATGAGAAAATGGGCTTCTAGAGGTTAGGTAACTTCCTCAAGGTCACACAGCTTGTGAATAGTAGAGCTGGTACTCAAGCCCATGTCTGATCTGAATTTAAAGCTCCATTTCCACCCCTGGTTGGTCCCACCTTCTGCTCATCCCATTAGTCAAAGGGTGATGGATGCTATTGTCAGTTTGAAGGAGAAACTGAGGCACAGGTTAGTTAATATTGTGTTCAAGGCCACAAACCCAGGCAGTCTGGCTCCAGAGCTGTCTCACCCCATCATGGTGATACTCAACATCCTCTAATTCCTTGCTTTTTCTTTGTGTCTTCCACTGATCCTATGTCTGTCTTTGTTCACACTGTATCCCCAGGGGCCTGGCAGTAGGAACTGAATTAATCTAATGAATTGACTCTAAAAGTTTTTAATAAACTTTAAAAAATTATATTTGTATGTACAAAATGCATATCATTCTTACAGCCTTTTCTCTGCATAGGTTTTTATTATTATTATTATTTTGCATGTCTATATTAAGAGAGGTTTTTATCAGTTAGAGGTTAAAAGCCAGAGGACCTGGGGCGCCTGGGTGGCGCATTTGGTTAAGCGTCTGCCTTCAGCTCAGGTCATGATCCCAGGGTCCTGGGATCGAGTCCCGCGTTGGGCTCCCTGCTCCGCGGGGGCCTGCTTCTCCCTCTCCCTCTGCCTGCCTGCCACTCCCCCTGCTTGTGCACTCTCTCTCTCGTTCTGTGTCAAATAAATAAATAAAATCTTAAAAAAAAAAAAAAAAAGCCAACGGACCTGAGATTGTAGTTTGGCTTTGCTACTTAACTAACCGTGTAGCCTGGACAGAGTACTTGATTTCTTTGTGCCTCAGTTTTCTCATCTTTAAAAGAGGCCGGTAGAGGGGCGCCTGGGTGGCTCAGTCGTTAAGCGTCTGCCTTCAGCTCAGGTCATGATCCCGGGGTCCTGGGATCGAGCCCCACATCGGGCTCCCTGATCAGCAGGGAGTCTGGTTCTCCCTCTCCCACTCCCCCTGCTTGCCTGCTTGTGTTCCCTCTCTCGCTGGGTCTCTCTCTCTCTCTCTGTCAAATAAATAAATCTTTAAAAATAAATAAAAGAGGCCGGTAGTAACAGTGATTACCTCCCATAATGAGTTAGTGATTATAGCATGCCTTGAATATTGTATGCCTCTCTCTTAGAATCAATAGTTCATCAGTGAAAAGTGCTTAGGACATAGGAAGTCCTCAGTAACTGGGAGCCACTGATGTGCTGATTTTTTGCACTCACTCTTATAGTTTAGACATTGTCTGTCTCCCTCTGCCTTGTTTTCTTTCTCTCGCCTTGACTTCTCAGCCAAGAATCTTTCTGAGTCTCTACTTTCTATGGGTTACTCAACCCATCCCATTAGGCTCCCCTTCCCCACTGGGACTGTTCTCACAGAGGCCACCAGGGACCTCAGAATTGCCAAATCTAGGGGTCATTTCTTAGTCTTCCAGCTATCCTCCTGGGTGGCACCTGGAACTGTGAGCCTCTCATCCCTATTCTCCTGTCTTCTAAGACATAGTCTGTTCCTGCTTTAGCCTGACTTCTCAGCATTTTTCTCTTTGTGCTGTATGGGGGGGCTTCTCTCTCTCCACTCACTGTTTAAATGTTGGTGTGCCTTGGGGTGCCTGGGTGGCTCAGTCAGTTAAGCGTTCAGCTCTTGATTTCGGCTCAGATCATGATCTCATGGTTGTGAGATTGAGCCCCGAGTTGGGCTCTGTGCTAGGCGTGGAGCCTGCTTAAGATTCTCTCTCTCGGAGCGCCTGGGTGGCTCTGCCTTTGGCTCAGGTCCTGATCCCAGGGTCCTGGGATTGAGCCCTGTGTCGGACTTCCTGCTCAGCGGGGAGCTTGCTTCTCCCTCTCCCTCTGCCTGTTCCTCCCCCTGCTTGTGCACACTCGTTCTCTCTCTCTCTCAAAAAAAAAAAAAGATTCTCTCTCTCTCTCTCCCTCTGCCCCTCCCACTACCCCCACCCTCTCCCATGCATGCACGCTCTCTCTCTCAAAAAAATAAAATAAAATAAAAATAAAAAATAAATGTTGGTGTGTCTCCTCTTTCCATTATTAGCTATGTGACCTCAGATGAGTTATCAAGAGTCTGTCTGCCTGGGTTTCTTCATAAGTAAACTGGAGATGGTTGTATTTCTACCTCTTAGAATTAGATGAGCAAGTCCATGAAATGTGATGAGTACAGCACCTGGCACCAAGTCAGCACTCAATAAACATTAGTTGCTATTATTACCATCATTTGCTTTGCTATAAATTTCTGTTGAGTCTTGTGGCTTTCACTATTCTCCACGTACCTCCCAATCTTATCTGTGGCCCAGACTCTCCTCTGATCATAAGCCTGTGTTTCTAATTCCTAAGCCCTTGAGTCTGCTTGGATGTCCCAAAGATACCTCAAATTCAGAGACAGAGCTGAACTTGGCATCTTCCCCTCTCAAACCTGTGTCACTTCCTATATGCCCAGCCTTAGTTTATGTTACCTCCATTCACCTGCATACCAAGCCAGGGACCTAGAAGTCATCCTAAATGCCTCCTTTTACCCTCTACTCCACCTTCCTTTACCTCTCCTAAGCTGTCCATGCCCTCCATCTTCACTTGGACTTAATGCTCAAAAATACATGTTGAGTGAGTACTTGAACAAATAAAAGGACCGTTGTAGTAACCTCCTTATTCCTCTTCCTACCCTAATCTTACCATCCATATGTTCTCTCCTCTGCCACCAGAGTGATCTTTCTAAAAGGCAAATCTCTTATTACTTCTGTTCGAAATCCTTCAGCAAGGGGCACCTGAGTGGCACAGTCAGTTAAGCATCCGACTCTTGGTTTCAGCTCAGGTTGTGATCTCAGGTTATGAGATTGAGCCCCGTGTAAGGCTCTGTGCTCAACTTGGAGTCTGCTTGAGATTCTTCCTCTGCCCCTCCCGCTCATGTTCTCTCTCTCTCTCTAAAAAGTAGATAAATAAATCTGGGACAACTTTGGGTGGCTCAGTTGTTAAGCATCTGCCTTCGGCTCAGGTCATGATCTCAGGATCCTGGGATCGAGTCCCGCATTGCTTCTTCCTCTCCCACTCCCCCTGCTTGTGTTTCCTCTCTCGCTGTCTCTCTGTCAAATAAATAAATAAATAAATACAGTCTTTAAAAAGTAAATAAATCTTCAAAAAAATAAAATCCTTCAGCAAGACCTTGTTGCTAATAGTTAAATATCCCAAATTGTTTATTGAAATGGCAATGGCTCATGAAGGAAATCAGTTTGGGAAATTATATTCTCAATTCCCCATCCTCCAAAACTGGAGATTCAAAATACATATTAGCATACTGAGAAGTCCTATAGTAAAGAAATCAGCTTAACACAGCATTTCCCAGGTCTATTTAACTCTGGAGCCTTTTGATTGCAGATTATCCCCATGAACTAGTGGAACATGCTTGGGAACCCTGACCTATAGGATAAAGTCTAAATTTTTATTCCATGGTGTTCTAAGGAACTTTTTTAAAATCTAGAAAACTACAGAGATTAATATAATCACCGTCCATGTACCCACCTCTAGAAGTGATCATTATTTAACATTTTCTCTTTGCTTCATCTTTCTTTTTTAAATAAAAGAAATATAATATTACAGATGAAGTTGTTGAAAGATAAAGTCTCCCGTGGCTCCCGAGGCTAGTCTCACTCCCTCCTCCCAGCCCCAGAGGCAGCCACTGTCGTGGACGTAATGTCTTCAGTGTGACTCCTTCTGAGGTCTTTCTTGTACTTCTGCTGTGGCACTGAGCATACCTGTACCCATCTCCCATGCAAAGTGGAAAAGCTTCTCTAGGGAAAATACAGGGAGGTGGAAGGAACATTTTAAATTCTAGTAGATGCTGCAAGATTACATTCTAAAGTAGTTGTTCCAGAATGTACATTTCGACTACCAGCCATATACAGCAGCCCCTATTTCCCCACTTCCCTTCCAACAATTAAAGTTAAGCTTTTAAATTTTTGCTGGTCTAATAAGTGAGAAGTGGCCTTGTAACTGTGACTTGCTTTTTTCTAGTTACTTGTGAGTTTGTACATCTTTTGAGTGTATTGGCTATGTGGGTTTTCTTTGGTGTGAGTTGTTCACTTCTGTCCTTTGCTCACATTTTCCCTTACATCATTTGTCTTTTTTCATCTAGATCAGCAAGCATTTCTGAACACAAAAGATGTTACTGTTTCTTCGTTAGTTTGCAGATAAATTCTCCCCAGTCTTTTTCTCTTCTAGCTTTGGTGTCCTTTTCTGAAAGTTTTTAATTGGCTTATAGTCTGAGCTGTCTGGGTCTTGGAGTGTATGGTTTTAATGAATGTCTTATTAAAAGAGCCACTAGGATACTGAGGAGGGATCTCTGCCTCTCCTTCTGCACCTTTTCCTGTAGCTCCATGTGTCCTACCAGAAGTACTTCAAGCTGGAGCCCCTCCAGGCCTACCATCGAGTTATCAGCCTGGAGAACTTCATGGAAAAGCTGGCACCCACTCACTGGCCCCCCGAGAGGCGGGTGGCATACTGCTTTGAGGTGGCAGCCCAGCGAAGCCCTGATAAGAAGACATGCCCCATGAAGGTGGGTCTGGGGGACCCTTTCTGCCTGTTCCATGTCCTCTAGGCCCCTGAGACACTGTGACAACAATATGTGGGGAAAGGCACTAGAAGGGTTAGTGTAGAAAGATGGAGATTTAAGTCCCATTTCTGACGTCTGTCAGCAGTGTCACTTTGGGCAGAGGACCTTGATTCCTCTGAGCCTTTATCCCTGCTCTGTCTCACTCAGTAATGTCACAGGGCCAGGTGCAGGAGTGCTTATAAACTGTAAAGTGCCACATGAGTAATAATAACTAATACTTTTTTTTTTTTTCAGACCGAGAGAGAGAGTAGGGGGAGAGGCACAGGGAAAGGGAATGGAGAGGGAATCTTAAGCAGGCTCCACTAGCCTGATGACTGGGGGCTCGATCTCACAACCCTGAGATCATGACCTGAGCCGAAATTGAGTCAGACGCTTAGCCAACTGAGCCACCCAGGTGCCCCAAATAATATCTAATACTTCTATGGCACTTACTACAAGCCAGGTACCACAAGAGCTTTACACATATTAACCCACTTAATCTTCCAACTGCTCCGGGAGGGAAGTACTATTAATATCCCCGTTTTATAGAGAGGACACTGAGTGCAATACAGAGTTTTGATATTTTGCCCAAGGTCACATAGCAAATAAGCTGGGATTCAACTCCAGGTAATTTGGCTCCATTATCCACCCTCTTATCTTGTATACATTCCTGCCTTTCAGCAGGTAAATAAGAAACAGTCATATTTCATCAGGAGAAATTTGTAATTTTCTGGTACTTTGGGAATAAGACAATCCCCAGTATGTCTTTCAGTGCTTATGCTAAAGTCTAGGGAGGGTAGTTGAAAGAGCCATGAAATTTGAGAAAGGAGGCTTGGCTTATAGCCACGACACTGCCCTTACTTGCTGTGTGACCTTGGACAAGGGTCTTACGCTGTCTGGGCCCTGGTTTCCATCTTGAAAATAAGGGCATTGTGTTAGCTGGTCTGAAAGTCTCTGAAAGCTCTAGTCCAAGATCTAAAGCCCAAATTCAAGATCCACTTCCTTCCTCTACCCCCACTAGAGCTGCAGGGTCAGTGGGATGTGGCATGTCAGTGGGTAAGACTCCTTTAGACACTGTGGTGAACGTCTGCTGGAAACCAGACTGGAGGCTGAGTTGCTCTCCTTAGTCCCCAGCTCAGGATTTACAAAGTGACATTCCTATTGGCCATTCTATGAGGGGTTTCAACCTAAGTCTAGTCTACCAGGGTTCCCCCACCCACAGTTCCTTGGCCCCATACCGAGAGGGCTTTCCCTCCTCAGTAAGTCTTTGATCTCTCTCTTTCTGCAGGAAGGAAATCCCTTTGGGCCATTTTGGGATCAGTTTCATGTGAGTTTCAACAAGTCTGAACTTTTTTCAGGCATTTCCTTCAGCGCCTCCTACAAAGACCAGTGGATCCAGAGGTACTTGGAGGGGGCAGTGTTGCTGGGTTTAGGGGAGGGGCATGGGGCCCCTGAGAATGCAGCAAGCACTTTCCTGACCCTCTCCCCGCCGTACCACACCCTGATGTTTGAGACCAAAGGTGTGGCCCTTCTGTCTGTTGAACTTGGGATCCTGTGTGATGTGTTCCCATCTCAACGCCTGACACGGTGGGACGTTGACCTGCCACAAGGTTGAGCAAGAGTTTATCGGCTGATAAAGGATGTCATAAAAAGAGTATTGTGCAGTCACATGGGTCTTGATTTCCTCCTCTAGGCGTGAGAATCACTCCCCTGTTACCTTCCTCTTCACAAGGTGAGAATTGGAAGCAGCTTCTAGAGAAAAGCAACTTCAGGTGCAGACTGAGAAATGATGTCATCCTGATAATAATTGGATGTGCTTTATTAATTGCATTCCAGTAGGCCCTATTAAAAAAAATAGGTTAGCAGGGCACAGGCACAGACTGTGAAATATTTATAGGCGTCTGTCACGTAGGAGACATAGTGCTCAAAGGCCAGAGGTGATCTATAAAAATGAGGAAGACCCAGCCTCAGCCTTCAGGGAGCCGCATACCAGTTATAATGATGCTAACAAACAGAGAGCACTTGCCTTGATGCTATAGCATGGCAAAAAGGAACGTGAGCTTAAAAGTCAGACTTGGGTTCAGGGCTGTGAGGAACATGTGAAGTCATACATGGTCATAGCCCTCGGCATTCTGTAGACCAAGGATGCACTGATGTAGAGAAAGGAGTCCGCGCTCAGGATCAGACAGACCTGGGCTCGGACTCAGCCCTGCCTCTTTCTCAGGAGCCCCTGAGCAGCCTCTCCAGCTCTCCAGCCTGAATATCCTCGTGGTTGAACGGAAGGAGCCCTGTGGCATCTGCCTCCGAGGGCATAGAGCGCGTGGTTCATCGTAGGGGGCCAGCCAGTATTAGCAGTTAATATTATTATTCACATGCTTTATTTCATATAAAGAGAAACTTTGGGAAACTCTATGAAGTGGGTTTAATGATTGATTTTCATTTGGCAGATAAGGAAACAGCTCAGTGAAGTAAGATAGCTTGCCCAGGGTAACCCAGCTGTTGAGAGGGCAGCTGCAGGCCGAATGTAACTCTTTAATACATAATAAAGCTGCTATTTATTTAGTGCCTACTGCGTGCCAAACACCGTTCTAAGTTTTCATTTCACTACCTAAGTCTTCTAAGGTGATAACTCATTGGATCCTTCCACAAGTCTGTGCGACAGGAGTTACTGTCTTCTGTGCTTTACACATAGGGAAGTTGAAGCAAAGAGGAGTGAAGTCTCTTGCCCAAGGTCATACAGCTTAAAGTGGCAAAGCTGGGATTTGAACCCAGGCAGTCTGATTCCAGAGCACCCATTTTTTTTTTTTTTTTTTAAGATTTTATTTATTTATTTAACACAGAGAGACACAGCGAGAGAGGGAACACAAGCAGGGGGAGTGGGAGAAGGAGAAGCAGGCCTCCCGCTGAGCGGGGAGCCCGATGCGGGGCTCGATCCCAGGACCCTGGGATCATGACCTGAGCCAAAGGCAGATGCTTAACAGCTGAGCCACCCAGGCGCTCCCAGAGCACCCATTCTTAATCACCGTGGAGAATAGCTGTGCCTGTAACAGCTGCCAATTCCCATTTGGGATTTCTGAGCTAATTCAGGAGCTACTGAGGATACTCAGTCATGGCAGGTTCTACTCCTCCCTCGTGGTTGATCTCAGATAGGGTATTTCCATTTGATCACCTCCTTGTTTCCAGAAGATATAATGCCACGAAGGACATAAACAGGTGATGTGTGGTTTTAGGGCCAAGACCTTATCTCAGTCAGCTCGGGCTGCTATAACAAAATAGCACAGCCTGGAGGCTAAAACAACACGCTATTTCTCATGGTTCTGGAGGCTGGGAAGTCCAAGATCAGGGTGCTAGCATGGTTGGGTTCCAGTGATCTTTGCTTGCTACCTTTTTGCTGTGTCCTCACATGTTAGAGAGCAGGCTCACTTATAAGGCACTAATCTCATCATGGGGGCTCTATTCTTATGACCTCAACTAAACTTTATTGGCTCCCAAATGCCCTGCCTCCTAATATCATCACATTGGGGGTTGGGACCTCAACTATGAATCGGAGAGGGCGGGGGGGGCTGGCGCACAAACATTCAGGCCATGAGAGACCTGAAGGGAAGGAGCCATCCATGGAAAAAGCTGGAGGGAAAGGTAGTTCTTCATGGTGGGGACATGGAGCACAGAGGCTCTGAGGCAGGAACAGGCTTGGTGTGGTGGAGGGGCAGACAGCCAGTGTGGCTTCTTGGAGTGAGTGAGGAGGAGAATGGGGACTGTTCCATCGTTTGTTACTGAATAATAAACCAGTTTTGGAATGGTTCCCCAGCAGTGGGTAATTATTTCTCAGAGTTCTGTGGGTTGACAGGGGTCAGCGAGGCAGTTCTGGTTTTTGGTTTTCCATCTTTCTAGAATCCCAACTGTACAAAGTTTGAATCCATGTTAAACATCTAACTTCTTGCTATAAATATCCTTTAGAACCCACCACAGATTGGGTGGGAGATTTTTAAATTTTTAATAAAGAAGAGAATTACATTTGCTCATAATCCACCACTCCCTTCAAAAAACACTCTTAGCAGCTTGATGTATATACTTCCATCCTCCGGTACTTTTATACACACCTATATACCTACACAGGTTAGCTTAAAATGAAACTACTGTGTGTAGTTTGTGATCAAGTATTACTCAACTGCCTTTTCTGAGGAGGGATTGATATCATTATTTACCAGGTTAGTAAATATTGCTAGCAGGATCAGTTCTAAACAAACACAAGATTTCAAAAAATGGTTACAGGGATGTATATGTGTATTTGTGCCAGTGGAGAGAGAGAGAGTGTGTGTGTGTGTGTGTGTGTGTGTTATTTAGTTATTTTGTAACCACGTTTTTAAGTGTACATTCAGTAGCATTAAGTACTTTGCCCTGTTGTATGCAGCCACCACCATCATCCATCTCCAGAACGTTTTCATCACCCCAGACAGAACCTCTGTACCCATCAAACAACTTCTCCGCATTCTTCCATGCCCCCCGCCCTATCCCTCTATTCAACTTTTCTGTCTCTGAATTTGCCTATTCTAGGTCTCTTATAAGTAGAATGATATGATATTAGTCTTTTTGTTTCTAGCTTATTTCACTTAGCATAATGTCTTCAGGTCTCATCTGCGTTGTGGTATACATCAAAATTTTAGTCCTTTTTTTTTTTTTTAAGATTTTATTTAATTGATGGAGAGAAAGAGAGAGACACGGCGAGAGAGGGAACACAAGCGGGGGGAGTGGGAGAGGGAGAAGCAGGCTTCCCACTGAGCAGGGAGCCCGATGTGGGGCTCGATCCCAGGACCCTGGGATCATGACCTGAGCCGAAGGCAGTTGCTTAACCAACTGAGCCACCCAGGTGCCCCAAAATTTTAGTCCTTTTAAGGCTGAATAGTTCATTATGTGCACGGATCACATTTTATCTGTTCATCTGTTGATGGACGCTTGGGTTAGCCGGTCACTTCTTGCTTTTGGTCTCATGTGGTTGAAGTCAGCTGTCAGCTGGGGCTGGAGTCTGGAAGCCCGGCTGGGCTGCATGTCCAAGAGGGCTCGCTCGTGGCTAGCCAGTAATGCAGGCTGTCATCGGGGAGCTCAGCTGGGGCAGTTGGCTGGTGTGAGTACACAAGGCCTCTCCATGTGGCTTGGACTTCTGATGGCATATCAGCCAAGTTCTGAGAGGATATAACCAGGGAGTGAATAGGGGAATAGAAGCTGCTGGCTCCTAAAGCCTGGGTCTGGTGACTGGGACAGTGTCACTTCTGCTTCATGCCGTTGGGAGGGGACACAGAGTCCACCTAACGAGAGGAGATTTGAAGAATTAATCTGCCATACAGGCAAGGAGCTTGGAGAAGAAGTGGGCAGGGGTCAGATTGCACAGGGCTTTATAGGCCCTGGCAAAGCAGGCTGATAAGCAGCCTGAGTGCTTTGTAGGAGTGAGCTGAAGAGTGTATATATTCTAAACATTTTCTAAAATAATGGACACTTGCTTGCTATAGAAAGTTGTCCTTTGGGGGCAGGGATAGGGGTGTAGGGAGAATGGCATTGGAAAGGGTCAGGCTTTTCCCCGGCTCACTGTGTGACGAGGTAGATTGCTTCCCTTCTCTGGCCACCATTCCATCTGTAAAATGAAGGGGGTGAGAAGGTCTGTGGTTTCTGTACTGTTCCTCAGAGTTCTTGAGAAGGGCCTCTAGTGCCATGAGGCTGGCAATGCAGGGCCAACCTGGAGGGACTCAGGTCCCTCCCACCACCACCTTTAACCAGTAATCCTCTTGTATATCAACTAAAAGCTTGGATGGCCACAGGTCTAGGTATACCAGGCTTAATTTAAGCCACATGTTACAGAAAACCCCAAATAACAGCAGATTAAGAAGATAGAAATGTATTGCTTTCTTAAGTAAGAGGAGTACTGAGGTATGCAACCCACCACTCGATGGCAGCTCTATTGTGTTGTCAGGACTCAGGCTGCCAACTCCGCCCAGCTGACCCAGTCCCGGCTTTTATCCTCAGTGTCCCCTCACAGGGCTGATGAAGCTTTAGCCATTACAACCTTGCCTCAGGCAGCTGGAAGGAAAAAAGGGCAGAAGGGGGGCACAGCCTCACCTTTTTAAGGAACCTTTCTAGAAGTCCCATATAGCCCTCTTGCATCTCGTTGGCTAGTTCTTAGACAAATGGCCATATCTTAGCTGCAAGAAGTACAGAGAAATCTCTTTATTTGGGGCTGCCATGTGTCCAGCTAATTCGAGGAGAAGGGGTAAGAGGTATTTCTTCCCCACTAGGTGATTTCTGAGAATCCTTCTAGCTCTGCTGCTTCTGAGTCTGTGAATACCCTGGCAGAGGTTTAATTCAACAGATATTTATTGCACATCAAATGTTGAAAGACCATGGACCATTATGCTGAACCATTCTTGTGGCGTGAAGGTAACAGGTATTTGGAACTCCTAGGAAAACCTGACTATCACCATCACCATCATTGTCCTATTGCATGAAACCCACTGCAACTTTTTAGAAATTCAACTTTATGTTTTAGAGACTTGGCCACGTTGACCGTGTTAGCTTCTCTCGAAGTTTTCCATTTTGCACGAATAAGCACAGCAGGGCTGCAGTGGGCACGCCCCTTTCTTCACACCCAACCCAAACACCTCGGTCTACAAACACCTCCCAACCCTCCAAGACCAGCTGCCATTCCCAAGCCTCAGCTCCTACGGGAGGGCTCCCTGTCCCACTTCTCCTTTGCTGCTGTCTGCACACTGACGTGCTCGACAGCCGTCTTCCCTGCTGCAGCATCAGCCCACAAGGGTAGGGGCCTGGGCTATTCCGCTCCCCACAGTTCCCACACACACTGGCCCAGGGCTTGTGTCACAGAAGCTGACATCCTGGCTCTACATGACACTTGTTTCATTATAATAATCTTATATGTACATGTATGTGAATCACGGATCGAGCCTTATTATGTGACAGGCAACGTTCTACTTGCCTTACGTGTATGAACTCATTTGGTTCTCACAAGAGCCCTGTGAGGTAAGCACTATTGTTATTCTCCTTTTACAGATGAGGAAATCGAGGCATAGAAAGCTTAAGTAACACGCCCATGGTCATGCAACCAGGAAATGGTGGAGCTGGGATTTGAATCCAAGGCAGTCTGCTCCAGAACCTGGTTTCTTAACTATGCACCTCACTCCCAGCTCCCCCAATGCCATCAGTGAGACCCTCAAAAGCGGAGTCTGCGCCCTCTGTTTCTGATCTGTAGTCCCTAGCACAGGCCTCAACGCACAATGGGTACATCAATATTTTTAGAATGAATGATTGAAGGAATGAGGATTCAGGGGTCTTACCAGAAAAACCAGGCCAGGTTGTCAGGGGTTAGAGGAAGAAGAAGTGCATATGAGCTGAACACCTACTACCATCCGGCCCTCAGCCAAACTCCTTTCTGAAGTCACCTCCAAAGATTTCAAAGGTAGAAAGAGTTTGTGATCTCCCAGGCAGTGGAACAGTAGGAGAAATCAGGAACTGTGTGCTCTCTGACCTCTTGGAGAGCATCTGCAGCTGACCCTTGGTGAATTCTAGATTTGGAATGTCCATCCCCTCTCCCTAGATCTGGATCAGCACATGGCTGCCCCACTGGGACATCAGCTCTGACCTGATGAGCATCAAGAGGCCCAGACTGATGTGCTCATTTACTCCCAATGAGAGAGGAGAGTGTTGTTTGGAAAGAAAGGGAGTGCTAAGGGTGTTGTTTGGAAATAAAGCTTGACCAGCTCCATCTGCCCCTGAGCGCCCTAGGTCCGGCCCTTAGCCTGGTCACTGTCCAGCTGAAAAAGGCATATTCTCTTGCTGCTGGGTGCAGTGAACCTCTGGGGTTCTTCCCCACCACCCCTCCACTACTGAGATTCCTCCACCCAGCTGGAGTTTCTCTATACACAGCATCCACTGATGTGCCCGGAGTACATATGTGGGACAGTAGATGAGCACCATACTGAGTGCGAAGGATGAAGGGACATGAAGGAGGCAGGGCCTTGCTCTCAACGTCCCTGTCAGGAAGGACTACCTTTCTCTCCCACTCTTTGCAGGGATGGCTCCTCATCCTTCGGGTCTCAGTCTGGTCCCAGCCCTGCCAATTACATGTCACCTGTTTACGGCCTCTGAGGAAGGCTGCAGCCTGAGAGCACAGTAACAATAAGGGCTGATGGTAGAGCAGGGGAGACGGCTGTCGAGCACGTCAGTGTGCAGACGGCAGCAAAGGAGAAGTGGGACAGGGAGCCCTCCCGTAGGAGCTGAGGCTTGGGAGTGGCAGCTGGTCTTGGAGGGTTGGGAGGTGTTTGTAGACCGAGGTGTTTGGGTTGGGTGTGAAGAAAGGGGCGTGCCCACTGGAGCCCTGCTGTGCTTATTCGTGCAAAATGGAAAACTTCGAGAGAAGCTAACACGGTCAACGTGGCCAAGTCTCTAAAACATAAAGTTGAATTTCTAAAAAGTTGCAGTGGGTTTCATGCAATAGGACAATGATGGTGATGGTGATAGTCAGGATTTCTTAAGAGCTTTCTATGTGCCGAGTACTGTTCTAAATGCTTTGCTTATATTAATCCATTTAATCTTCTCAAGAGCCCTACGAGTCAGGAGCTATTATTAGCTCTATTATACAAATAAGGGAACTGCTGCACAGAATGGGTAAGTCACCTGCCCAAGTTAGTAGGTGGCATAGTCAACATTAGCACAAGGCCATCTGGCTCGACAGCCTGGACCTTTACCATTACATTGTGTGAAAAGCACACAGAATAATACCTTTATGCACAAATAGTAAAAGTGTAGTCATGCATAAAGCCACTGTATCTTCTGGGAAGAGGAAGTAAAGGAGGGAAAGATGATGGGATAGACCAGTGTCTCTTTTTTAAAAAATCTGAGGGGCAACTGGGTGGCTCAGTCGTTAAGCGTCTGCCTTCAGCTCCGGTCATGATCCCAGGGTGCTGGGATCGAGCCCCGCATCAGGCTCCCTGCCCAGTGGGAAGCCTGCTTCTCCCTCTCCCACTCCCCCTGCTTGTGTTCCCTCTCTCGCTGTCTCTCTCTGTGTCAAATAAATAAATAAAATCTTAAAAAAGAATAAAAAAATAACAAATCTGAAACACAGTGAAGTATTAATATCTGCTAATTTGGGTCATGTGTATGTGGGTTGTAAAGTTATTTTCTGTATTTTCCTGTTATGCTTTGAAATATTTAATAACTTTTCATTGAAATTTTTATTGAGGTAATTGTAGATTCACATGTTGTAAGAAATAATACAAAGACAAGGAAGGAAGAAAGGAAGGAAAGAAAAGAAAAAAAAGAGAATACAAAGAGGTCCCAGATACCCTTTACCCAGTTCACTCATTGCTGGCATTTTGCAAAACTATAGTGCAGTATCACAACCAGGATGTTGACATTGATACAATCCACCCATCGTATTCAGATTGTCCTAGTTTTACTTGTACTCACTTCTGTATGTGCACGTGTGTGTGTGTATTTAGGTCTGTTCGATTTTACACACATGTAGGTTGTAACCACCACCACAGTCAAAATACCCGAACAGTTCTAACTTCACAAGGATCCTCTGTGACCAGTATATGACTACACCCATGTCCTTAACCATGCATGTGTGCGCATGCGCGTGCACGCACACACACACACACACACACACAGGCACACACACCCTAGCCCCTGACAACCACTAATCTCTTCTCCATTTCTGTTCTCTGCTCCGTTATGTCATTTCAAAAATGTTACATAAATGCAATCACAGTATGCAAGATTGAGGGCTTGGCTTCTCTCGTTCTGCATGGCTCCCTTGAGATCCATCCCACGTTGTTGCCTGTCTCGGTAGTTTGTTCCTTGCTATTGCTGTCGGATTCCGTGGTGGGATGCACCATGGTTTGGTTAGCTAGTCACTTGGACAGTAGAGCTGTTTCCAGTTTGGGGCTGTTATGAACAAAGCTGCTCTAAACATTCGTATACTGGTTCATGTGTGAATATAGGTTTTCATTTCTTTGGGATAAATGCCCAAGAGTATAATTGCTGGGGCATATGGTAACTGCATTCTAGTTTTACAAGAAACTGCCAAACTGCCAGAGTGGCCATGCCAATTTCAGAATTTTAAGAAAAGGCTTTTGGCTGACAGAGGGAAGGCAGTCCAGGTCAAGGCAAGAAGCATACAGAGATCTGGAGCTTGAAAGTGCATTCGAGTTGATGGAACTATCAGGATGTTTCGTGTTGCTAGGACAGACTCTGGATTTAGCTGAAGAGGGAGCATGGGTTCTCTCCTCACTCATTCAGTCAACAAATATTCACTGAGCTCTTACATGCGCCAGACACCGTCCTAGTCACATGGAAGCATGCCTTCAGAAGTCTGTGTCTAGTAGAAAAGACAGGGTGAAGTAATTACAAGGTGCATTGTGTACAAGGAGGAAGGAGAGCCTTCAGGACGGTACGACGAGGGCATCTGTAGATGGCAGGTGCTTTTCACAAGGGCGGGGATCATGCTTGTCTTGTTCTCCCCTGGGCCCCAGCACGTAGTAGGCAGTCAACAAATATATGTTAAATGTTGCACGAATGGCCTCACCCAGTGTACACATTGCCTGTGAGCCTGACCTGTCCACGGCCCTCTGGAAGCCGCTGCATGTCCCAGTCCCGCCATGTGGGTAAAAGGGCAGAGGCGCAGTCCAGACACCCCACCCCAGAGTGAATTACCACACCACAGACTGGAAGCCAGCATGACATACAAAAGGTTGGAATGCTCTACTGTAAATTTTTAATTGTTAAGCAAGCAAAGAGGGTTGTAAATTCTGTGCGGCGGGACAGTATTGTATATTGTGCCTGTTGTCGCTGCCACGGTTCCTTATCAGCCTATTGGGGTTTCTCAGCCTCTCGTGCTTCTTGCATGTTAGCGGGGCCCCTTTGCAGGGTCTCTGGGGCATGGCGCAACACCATCCTTTGTCCTGTGGGGGAGGCGGCCAGGCTGTGTGTCCTCTGTCTAACTTCCCCTCATTCGGTCTCATGCCTAGATTTTCTCCAAAGGAACATCCAGTGCTTGCCCTGCCAGGGGCTCCGGCCCAGTTCCCCGTCCTGGAGGAACACAGGCCACTCCAGAAGTACATGGTATGGTCAGACGAGATGGTGAGGACGGGAGAGGCCCACATCCGCACCCACCTCATCCGGCCCTACGTGGGCATTCACCTGCGCATTGGCTCTGACTGGGTAATTTCTCCCTTCCTCTCAGGGCTGGCTTGGACATGTCCCTGATTAGGGCCCATGCCTGTGGATGTTGAACCCTGAACCCACTGCACCGAGTCCCAGCCAGGGCAGAGAGGTCTCACTCAGCCAAGTCCACGGGGCTGTGTTCCACGATCCTGCCTTAGACACATGAGAAATGTAGCTGCAAAGTGCTTGCTTGCCAGCGCTCATTTTAATAATAGCCATTTTTGTCCTTATTTTGCAGATGGTTAAATAAACATCAAGCTAGACTCCAAGTCAGGCAGCAAGCCAGAGAGACACCCAGAGCCCAGGAGTCTTGTGGTCCAGCTAATTGTTTAGCCAGTAGACTCTTTGTTGAAAAACAGGCTCTGGAGACTGGGTGGGGCTCTCAAAGCTGAAGATGTCATCCTCCAAATTTGGAGGCTGCTTAAATGTGCAGAAACCTCATCAGATTATCTTCTGTGTAAAAATAACAGGAGAAATGTAGACATCTCCTTAATTTACATAAGAGGATATATGTATGTATGTATGTTAGAAATGCTCATTGTTGAAGACTTGAAAAATACTGCAAAGGATAGAAATTAGATCAAAATTCACTCAGAGCCAATTGAGGAGGTACAGTTGACCCTTGAACAACATGGGTTTGAACCACATGGGCTCCCTAACATGCTGATGAGGTTTTACAGGGAGGTGTTGTACGTGGGTTTTCTTTTCCTTATGACTTTCTTAGTAACTTTTTCTTGTTTCTAGCTTCCTTTATTGTAAGAATATAGTATGTGATACATATAACATATACAAAATATGTGTTTATCAACTGTTTATTTTATCAGTAAGGCTTTTGGTCTACAGTAGGCTATTAGTAGCTAAGTTTGGGGGAAGTCAAAAATTATATACGGGGTGGGGATGGCGGCCCCTACGCCCTGTGTCGTTCAAGGGTCAATTATAGTCACACATTGACTCCCTTCCTGCCCTCCTTCCATAAAGAAAAGGAACCAGGCTCAGAATATCTTGTGAGTGGTTTTAGCCAAACCTTTAAGAAACAGTTTCCATCTATACATGCTTAGAACATAAAAAGACATAACATGCTATTTTTCACAAAGCTAGCATAACACTAAACCAAACTCGGATAAGGTCAATTCAGAAGAGTAGAGCTCATTCTCACAAACATAAATGTACAGATCCTAAGAAGAATATCAGCAAGTAAACTCCAATAACATATTAAAGAGCATACGACACAAGTAAACCTTATCCCAGGAATGCAATGAAATTCACTATATTAGCACCCAAAGAGGAAAAATCATATAATCATCTCAATAGAGGCCAAGAAAGCATTTGATAAAAGCCGACACTCAGTCATGATTAAAAACAAAAACCTCTTAACCAACTGGGAATTGAAAGGACCCACCTTAACTTGATAAAGGCTATCTCTCCGAAACCCACAGCAAACATGTACTTCATGGGAGCTACCAGAAGTGTTCCCACTGAAGTCAGAAATCAGATAAGGCTGCCCGTTATCACCACCATGGTTCAGAATTCTGCTGGAGGTCCCAGATAACCCAGTAAGACTAAGAAAAACATATTTTGTAAAAAGCCAGTATCCACTCTACAGAAACAGCCGCTGTTACTGTCTTGATGCATTTCCCTCTTCCCTCAATACTTTTTTTTAAAAACATAGTTGAGCTTCTATATAGCCTTTTTCCACTTAGTGGCTCTTGCTTCTGGGGCCCCGGGCCAGCTGCTGTCTTTAACCCTGTCCCCCCACGACCCTGCAGAAGAATGCCTGTGCCATGCTGAAGGACGGGACTGCGGGCTCCCACTTCATGGCCTCCCCGCAGTGTGTGGGCTACAGCCGCAGCACGGCCACCCCTCTCACCCTGACTATGTGCCTCCCTGACCTGAAGGAAATCAGACGGGCTGTGAAGCTCTGGGTGGACGCGCTGAATGCCCAGTCAGTCTACATCGCCACGGATTCCGAGAGTTACGTGCCCGAGATCCAAGAGCTCTTCAAAGGGAAGGTGTGTATGGTCTCAGTGGGGGTGTAGGGGGAAGGGAATCCAAGAAAGCTCCAGGGTGGTCCCACCGCTCCTTCTACACGCTTCATGTCCTCCCGACACTTAGATGTCCACTTCTTTTTTTTTTTTAAGATTTTATTTATTTATTTGACAGAGCGAGAGAGCACAAGCAGGGGGAACAGTAGAGGGAGAGGGAGAAGCAGGCTCCCGGCCAAGCAGGGAGCCCGATGCGGGGCTTGATCCCAGGACCCTGAGATGATGACCTGAGCCGAAGGCAGACGCTTAACCATCTGAGCCACCCAGGCGCCCCTAGATGTCCACTTCTGCTCCAGTTTCTATCCTTCCTTCAAACCCCAGCCCAAACACCTTGGCACATTCTCTCCAGATTTCCCTGCACTCTTGTAGCTTCCTACTGAAGCCATCACTGCATTTTATCACATCTGCTCTGGAGGCACTGTCTAGTCTGCATGAGGCCAGAGACACGGCCCATTTCCCAAGAGTTGTGGCTCCTTAAAGGCAGAGTCCAAGGCTGACTCACTGTTCTGTTCCTCAGCATCTGGGGGCCTTGCCATCACCAATGTCCAGGACAGTGCCTAACACAGTAGATGCTCAGTAACTGTCGAATAAGGACGTAAAGAGTGGGCCCTCGGGAGAAATCCAGTGTAGCAGAGAGATTAAGGGCTTGGACTCTGGGGCCAGAGAATGTGAGCACTACTCACTGTGCTATCTTGTGCAAGGTACTTTAGCTCTCTGTAAAGTGGGACTGAGAGCGGTCCTATCTCATTGGGCGGTAGTGCAGATCAGATATGAAGAAACAAACAGTTCCAGGACAAAACAAGTCCTCAATAATGTTAGCAGTCACCAGTAGTAGGAGTAGGTGATTGATGAATAAAGGGAAGGCTCTTTTGTGCTTAGTAAGTCTTAAGGAAGTGGTGAATAGTAAATATTCAGTGTGTGAATAAAGAGTGGATGTGTTTGGTACTCTATCAGTGGAGAGTAGGTAATAAGTATGTATCGATAAAATGACTGAATTAATGGTAAGCATTCAGCAAGATTTCGTGGATGAATGAAAGCCCTAAATGCTTGCAGAGACCTTAAAAGGTTGGCTTTCTAGCAGTGAGAACCCTTGGCTTTATGTGAGGGGCCCCGTTCTCCCTTTTACCCCAGACACGGGCTGGAAGCCCTGACGTGTAGAGAAGGTGCTGAAGCCGAGCATCCTGGCCTCCCTCCCACCCACCCACGCTAAAGAAGACCATCAGAGCCGGGAGCCCTTGGGACTCCTCTAACCCAACCCCTGTATTTTATAGCTGAGGAAACCAAGAAGGGATAGAATTTACCCAAGAGGTCTCAGAGCTAATTATAGTGGGCCTGACACAGAGCGGGTAAGTTTCAGAGCGTGGGTGGAATTGCTCGGGGATTTTGGCCATGATTAAACTAGTATTATTTCTTTGCTACCGTCCACAGAGCAAGATGATGATTTTTGTTACATCAGAAATCTCTGTGTGACAGCAAAGCACTTTCAGCCCCAGCTCTGCCCACACCCGCACCTCTGTACTAAGTTGAAGCATTTGGAGAGTCCCAGGGAGTTTTTTTGTGAGTTTTTAGAGTTGATATATTTGTTACACCTTGAGCCTCTTGCCATTTTCTATTTCCTGTTCCTGTGCCACTGTTCTTGCCCTTCCCCACTCCTCAGCCCCTTTCTCATGGGCTCAGAGCCCACCCTTGCACCTCATTTAAGCTGGGGCCCTGCTGAGCTGGGGATACTGATAAATAAGATGTGGTCTTGCCCTTTAAAGCTCCCAGTCTAGACTCAGGAAAAGAGACTTTGCACAGAACTCTAATACATGCTGCACGAGAGGTCCAGGAGCTCGAGTAGGGGCAGGGGCTCACTCATTCGCTTGTCCAGTCAATAGATGTTTATTGAGGCAGGCCCCAGCCAGCAGTGACCAGAAGGCTGCCGCAGCCCTGACCCCATCAGGTTCAGGAGACAGATATTAATCAGAGTAGAAACTACAAACTGAGGTGTGTGCTGCAAAGTAAAGGAATGTGGTTTGGGAGAATGTAGAGCAGAGGACTCTGGCCTAGATTGGGGTCCACAGAGGTGAGACTGGAGCTGCAGAGTGAGGGTTAAGTAAGAACTAACCAGACAGGGTGCCTGGGTGGCTCAGTTGGTTGGGCGACTGCCTTCGGCTCAGGTCATGATCCTGGAGTCCCGGGATCGAGTCCCGCATCGGGCTCCCTGCTCGGCAGGGAGTCTGCTTCTCCCTCTGACCCTCCTCCCTCTCGTGTTCTCTGTCTCTCATTCTCTCTCTCTCAAATAAATAAATAAAATCTTTTTTAAAAAAAAGAACTAACCAGACAAAAAGATGAGCACCCCGAACAGAGGGAGTGCATGCAAAGGTCCTGAGGCAGGAGGGAGCCTGGTGGGTAGTGGCTGGAGCTCAAGGGGAGATGGGGAGAGGTGGAGAGGTGACTTGAACAGGGCTTTGTAGGCCCCATTCAAGATTTGTCATCTTTTTCTGAAGAGCAGTAGGGCATCATTTAAGAGTGTTCAGCTTAGGGTGCCTGGATGGCTCAGTTGGTTAAGTGTCTGCCTTTGGCTCAGGTCATGATCCCAGGGTCCTGAGATCGAGCCCTGCTCAGCGGGGAGCCTGCTTCCCCCTCTCCCTCTGCCTCTCCGCAGCCGCTGGGCAATACTGCTGCCAGAATGCCTGACCCCATGTCCTAATCCTGTCTGCCCCACCTTCTGTGTCTGTCACTTCCGCATGAGGGAAGAGAGCTGAGGGTATGGCTGCAGGCCTTGGCCGAACTGGTCACCACCCTGGTGAAAACATTCTTCCCTTCCTCATGCAGGTGAAGGTGGTGAGCCTGAAGCCTGAAGTGGCCCAGATCGACCTGTACATCCTTGGCCAAGCTGACCACTTCATTGGCAACTGTGTCTCCTCCTTCACTGCCTTCGTGAAGCGGGAACGGGACCTCCAGGGGAGGCTGTCCTCTTTCTTCGGCATGGACAAGCCCCCTCAGCTGCGGGATGAGTTCTGATCCTGGCTGGAGCACATCACCAGTCTGAGCTGGTCCCACTTGCCAGGCCTGGCAACCAGCAGTGCTCCCAGCATGGATTCCCAAGAGTGCAAGCTCCTCTGTTCCCCCGCTAGAGACAGAAAAGCACCAGGGACTTCTGGAGGAGAAGGACTCCATCTCCCAGGGCACAGGGCTTTCAGGGTCCTGGAACCGGAGCATCTCTGCTCCCTGTGTGCCTCCTGCTGTTTCTCCTGGGAATTTCGCACACTGGCAAAGCAGTCCAACCTCTGTCTTTTGGTCTGCCCTGCTCTGAGCAGCCTGGGGGGCTAATCTCTTCAGCGATTTTTTATAGAGAGAGAAACAGAGATTCTTATAGTTTTGATATGAGATCATGATTACCCGAGAACTCTCCCTCATTTTTAAAAATCAGTGAAGTTCATTAACGTAAATACCTAAAGTGACCTTGAATGAGGATGAGGCCAGGGGTAGAGTGGTTGTATTGACCCTTTTTCCAGATGATCCAAAGTAGCCCTTAGAGCAGGCCAGAGCCATCCCCACTGCCTGGCCAGAGCCATTGTCAGCCCGTCTTCCGAGGCCATTTCCAGGGTTTGGGGCATGAGCACTCATCTTTACTATAAACACTGTGCAAATGGAAGTTATTGATCAGGATGCTGTGCAGTACTCTGCAGACAGTGAGTGCTGCCCACAAAGCACATTCCAAGCAAGGAGCAAGTGCCATCAAGCCAGACCATCATGGTATTGCTGTCAGAGTCTCCTAGTGGTTGGTGGCCTGCCACAAACCTGGCTGCATCGAGATCTTGGAGCACCAGGGCCCAGGGCTGGATGGCCTGGCTGGATGGCCTGGTGGCATCCTTCTGAAGGCTGCCCTCTCCCCTTTCACCTGTCTCCCTAGGGGCCTGGTTGTAGAATTTTGCCGTTAAGTTGCTATCCAAGGCCTATCCCTCGAGCCTCCCTCCTGGGGCTGGAGCCCTCAGGCCATATTCTCACCAGGGCATGTTTGCTAAGCCTCTGACCCAGAAGCCATCAGATTCCCAATCTGCCCCTTCCCATCCAGTGGAATCTCTGCCAGCCCCATGAGGCTTAAGGTATTAAATCGTGAGTTTCTCTGTCTCTCAGATGCTAGAGTTGTGATAATCCATGACTCCTAAGAGTCTGTGATGTTTTGGCCTTTGGTTCTAAAATTCATGTCTAACACCTGCTGTTCTCTTCCCTACCGTGTGACTTCCCTTGGCCTTTAATCCTGGGAAGGTAGAGGAAACTGATGAGAGCCAGGCCCAGAGCTCCATGCAGGGCCTCCCCCTCGGATTACCTTTGGGAAGAAACACTGTCTCTGTCGAGGCGGACTGGGCCAGAGGTGGCAGAACGACAAGGATCTCAAACACTAAAGGTGGCATTTGTTGCTCAGAGCTGTCGCCCGACTTGAAGCAGAGAAACTAGATAAAGGGCTTTTGTGTTTTCCCTTTTGGGAAAACTAAAATATTCTAAATCCTGGGTGGACTCTGAGAGATGGCTCGTCTGTCTGGACTTGTTCACAAGCTTCATTCAGAGGTACGGGAGCCTGAGCACCCCTGCCTCCGTGGGGTCATTGGGAAGGTGTGGCTCATTGGCTGATTTTGTTGGCTGAATTCATTTGCTGATCACAGGCTCACACTAGGCACATGCTTTAGAGTCTGGGGCTCTAACGGGCCGTCCAGACCACTTTGATTAGCATTGGCAGTGAGAACAGCTGTGTTTCTGGACAAGAGGGTGCCGGGTTGTAGTCAGATTCAGTTGTGTTCCTTAGGCAAGCACTTTGCTCCTCTTTGACCCAGTTGCCACTCTTAAATGGACCCAGTAGGGCACCATTTAAGAGTGTTCAGCTTAGGGTGCCTGGATGGCTCAGTTGGTTATAGGTGTTCACCTATAAAAATGATGATAAAACCGACAGGGTTGTTGAAAGGCTCCCATTAGATAAAACAGGCATAAGAGCACTTTGTAAACTGAAAAGAGCCAAAGGCACGTATATATATGGCTGTTGATTAATTTGATGGCCTCTTGTCGCACACCTACTCTCTGCCAGGCACTGTGCTTATTAAGTGCTTTATGGGACTTGAGACCTAACTCCTGCCCTGGGGAGTAGGAGCTGTTAATATCCTTCTCCTTCTGCACAGGGAAAAACTAACGCTCAGAAAATTCTCATCATTTTGTCAAGGCCACATAGTTGGTGGTGTTAAGCCAGCATCTGCCCTCCCAAAGCCATTACCGTTAGCCACACGCCCTACTGCCACCACTTCACAGGATACACTTTACACGGGGTGTGGGTGTAGGCCTCGGGTGGGAAACCCGTCATCCACTTTAGTTCCCACTGGGCTCCTGCTGTGTATGGGTCTGTCACTGCCAGGAGGTTTGGGGGAAGGAGAGATCACCCAGGAAGGAAAGCCCACATGAAACTTAACAGTTCTTTTGAGTGTTTAGTCCACCATTCTTTCATTCAAATCACCTGCTGTGTGCCAGGCACTGTGCTAGGTATGAGGATTTAGCAGAGAATCAGACAGAAAGCCTTTGTTCTCAAGGGATTTGCATTGTATTAAGTATAAGACACAAGGAACAAACGCATCAGGGAGGGTACTGACTAATTGCTATGAAGAAAAATAAAGGGTATGGGGGAGTTGAGAGAGGGAGCAGTGCTGTTTTGGATGAGGAGTTCAGGTAAGACCTCTCTGAAGAGTCACCAGTAGGAAGGAGGGGGCCATTCATTCAGATACCTGGAGGCAGCACATTCCAGGCAGAGGAAACAGCAGATGCAAAGGTCCTGAAGCTGGAGTGAGTGAGTGAAGCATGGCAAGGAAGCCAGCTTGGTTGGAGGAGCCAGAGCAAGGCAGGGAACAGAGCAGTCAAGGTTCTATATCCTGGAGGGTAGTGATGGTAAAGTCAAGACTTCTTTTTGGAGAAATGGGAAGCCTTTGCAGGATTCTGAACGGAGGAGGGTCATGATCTGTTTATAGTTTGAAGGACCCCCCTAGCTGCCACATGGAAAAAAGATGGGAGGGGTAGAAGCAGGGAGACCAGTGCGGGGCTGATGCAGGGATGCAGGCCAGATGGTGGGGCTCAGGCAAAGGTCGTAGCATTGAAGGTAGTGGGAAGTGGGCAGATTCTGGATATATAAAATTATTTTTAAAGTTCAAACTTTTTTATTTTTTTAAGATTTTATTTTTAAGTAATCTCTATACCCAACGTGGGGTTCAAACTACAACCCCGAGATCAAGAGTCAGATGTTCTGACCCAGCCAGCCAGGCACCCCATTAAATTTCAATCTTTTTTAAGGACAGGAGTCTTTGTATAGTTTTAATCATACAACATATACAATTTAATGTCTTGTTTTTCACTTAATAGTATATCACATTTTCCATGTTGGTACATGGCCTGAATAAATGATTTTAATGACAAAATTGCATTGAGGAGTGTCCCACAGTTTATTGTCCTATTAGGAGAACTTAGTATGTTCCCAATTATTCACTATTATTATTTGAATAATATTTTTATTTGCACTTTTTTTTCTGTATCTAACATGTTCATTAGGATAAATTCCCAGAAATGGATTTTAGATCAAAGACTTAAAGATAACAATTTTTATTATGGAAAAACTCAAATCTGCATAAAATTTGTGAGTAATAAAGTGAACTCCCAATTTCAACAATCCTCAGCATTTTACCAGTCTTGTTTCATTTACCATTCCATCCCCAAGTCCATGTACTAGAGTCTTTTAAAGAAAATCTGAATATGTTTTGAAAGAAGAGCCAATAGAATTTGCTGACCCACTGAATGGAGGCTCTAGGAAGGAAACCGGGAAGTCCAGGATGATCTAAGGTTTAGGGCCCAAGCAATGGGAAGTTGTCCCTGATTTGCAGACTGACTTTGAAGGTGGGGCCACCTCCCTCCAAGCTCCAGATACTAATGGTGTCCAAAGAGTGTCAGAGGTGGTCTCCAGATGTTCCTTGGAGAGCTGGTTGACAAGGCAGAGTCCAGGGACCCACCCTCCTGAAGAATCAGAACATTTTGTGGGTAGTGCCCAGGTATCTGCATCTTTTTTTTTTTTTTTTTTTTTTAAGATTTTATTTGAGAGAGAGAGCAAGCAGGGGGAGTAGCAGAGGGAGAGAGACAAGCAGACTCTGTGCCGAGCCCAGAGCCTGATGTGGGCTCGATCTCACAACCCTGAGATCATGACCTGAGCGGAAATCAAGAGTCAGACACTTAACAAGTTGAGCCCCCCAGGCACCCCAGGTATCTGCATTTTAAGAAGCACCTACAAGTGATTTTGATGCCCAGTGGCCCAAGACCTGCTTATCTTGTAGGAGTAGGACCAGCAGTAGGACTCCTCAGACCAGCAGCATCAACATCACCTGGGGCAGCTTGTTAGAAAGGCAGACTCCCAGGCCCTACCCCAGGCCTGCTGAGTCAGAAACCCTGGGATGAGGCCCAGGAATTTTTTTTTTTTTAAGATTTATTTATTTATTTATTTGAGAGAGAGAGAATGAGAGACAGAGAGCAAGAGAGGGAAGAGGGCAGAGGGAGAAGCAGACCCCCTGCTGAGCAGGGAGCCCGATGTGGGACTCGATCCCAGGACTCCAGGATCATGATCTAGGCCCAGGAATATTTTAACAATCTCTCCAGGACCTAAAGTTTGTGCAACACTATGCACTGTGATCAGCCAGCAAGCACTCAGGGAGGGCCTTCTCTCCAGGTCCCTCCCTGGCAAGTCTTGAAGGTTCCTCCAACCGTAGTCAGTGGGGTAGCTTTAGGTACCTGGTAGTGTTCAGTTTGGTTTGTAACATTTTTTTTTTTCTCTTACTGTGCGTTGGGGGAAATGTAGAACTAGACAGAATTTGATTTAATGGATTTCACTGTTTTAGGATGGGACCAATTTTATATAAGTAAAACAATGGGAATTACATTTTTAAAAAATGAAGTAACTACCAGTAGAGGTGGGTTATATATTAGGCAGAAATGGAGAAGCTGGTATTCAAAGGAACCAAGGCTGGGAAACGCTATCCTGATACATCATAGATCCTTCAGAAACACGCATCGGAGGGGAGAGGTGGGGGGAAAGAAAAAAAAAAAGGAGAGAAGAGATAGAGGGAGGAAGGAAGAAGTGAGCTCTCATTTCTGTGTTCCGATCACTTCAAAAAAGCTTAGTGAATAATAAGATTTCCCTGGCCCGAAATCAAGGTCCTTTTTCCTCCTCTGTTTTCTCTCTTTCATTAGTGGAGTTGACAGAAAAAAAAACAACAAAAAACCATAGCCGGAAGGCAAATCCTGCACTCTGGATCATGTTGTCAGAATTAATTCATATTACTTGAAACCTGGTTTATTTCAGGGTTGAGACGTTTACCCTGAAATAACATTATTTAAGGACAAGCAGGTTTGGTTTGTTTTTACATCCAATCCTTTATTGATTATCAGCTCAGGACACCAAGCCCAACCAGGTAAACAGCAAGAGGGACATGGAGAGGGACAAAAGGCATTCCCCAGAAACTGCCTCCTTCCCCAAGTACAGTGATTCAGCAGAAGTGGGGAACAGTGCCCACCCAGGGTGGCAGAGGGGGAGACTGGGAGGATGCCCCATCCCTCTCTGAAAATCTGCCTCTCTAACATTTAAAAAAAAATTGGCAACACGCCAAATCATTTCACATGTACTGTCTTGTGAGGGGGTATATTTCCCTTTCTAACAATGCGTGTGATGTTTTAGGGCACTAGCAAAAAAGAGAGAATTATCTTTTTGTTTTCTCAGTCCTGCTAACAATGCCAAAGAGAAAGTCTCAGTTCAATGCCAACATGTCATTAATTTCTCTACCATTTGCTAATAATCTGTCCTGGTAACAGAGAGCAGACCTCAGAGTCAGACATCAGCTTGAATTTAGTGACACTGTTTTGCTTTCATTATATTTCTGTTGGAGATGCTTGGTATTTGCGTTTTTTTCATTTACAGATGTGGTTTACAGTTTCCTTCTAAGAAATTTAGTTTACAAAGAGCAAGTTGATTTTAGTTTATTTAGTTTATTAAGTAAAGGATGTGGTGTGGATTATGAAGTTGAAATCTGGGAGAGCAGATCTCTCTGCTAGGCCCTGAAGACCCCCAGAACAAGACCCAGGAGGCAGTCAGAGGGGGGAGCTAGTTTTGAAATTAACTCTACTGTGCATTCATACGCCACTTCCCCTTCACATCTCCACACTATTGTCTAGGCTTTCTCTCTGCTTATATCATACTCATTAGTGTTTCTAGATCTTACTCTAAGAAATTTTCCTCTCCTGAGCTGCCATAGCACCTTGAAATTGTGGTAATAACCAGTATGTATTGTTTACCACTTGCCAGGCTGTGTTTAAGCACTTTATATAAGCTAAACCATCTAGCTCACCTAATAATCCTGTGAAGTTGGTCCTCCTATTATCTCCATTTTACAGATAAGGGCACCGAGGCACAGAGAGGTAAAGCAACTAGCTAAAGGTCACGCAGTTTGTGAGTGGCAGAGCTGGGACTTGAACGCTGGAAGTAGGAGATAAGAGCCAATGTACTTAACCCCCGAGCTGCGCTGCCTCTTGGGTCACTTATCTGAGGACATTTGCTTCTTGGTTTCCCCAGCTAGACCGGAGCTTCCCCAAGAGCAGGGACCATGCCAGATGTATCTCCCTATACCAGCGCCTGACCTGGTACGCGGCTTTGAAGAGTGCCCACTGAATATGGGTTGAATGACTGAAACGCAGAGAAAGTGGTCTGGGAAGCTGCGATGACTTCTGACCTCGTGCAAGATTCACGGAGAAGGTTGGCGTTGAGTTGAATGATGGCTGTGTTATCAACAGGTGCATGCGCGGAAGAGGAAAAAATTCTGGATGGAGGACACCATGTGAGCAAAGATACAAAGAGGAGACCACAGTTTGTCTAGTTTAGTTGGATTGGGGGAAGAGTTTGGAAGATTCTTGCTGTTGGAACATGGCGGGGGGCAGTGTTCAAAGACAAGAGTGAAGAGCTTGTACTCCTGGGAGCGTCAGGGACCCGGCGATGGAAGGGAAGTGGCACTGGCAGAGCTGGGCGTTGGGGCGGTTGATGCGACTCTGGGTTTAGAACAACTGAGAGGAAAGACTTAAAGTGAAAACCAGAAAAAGAGCTAAATCTGTGGGGAGCAGTGAGCAGTGCCGTGCGGGGATCCAGGGAGGTGGAGACCGGAGATGAGGCTGCACATGGGTGTGTGAAGGGCCTAAAATACCAAACTAAGAAGTGTGGCTTTTCTCTTGGGGAGCCAGAGGAGGTTCTGAAACCTAGAGTGTTTGATCTGATTTTTTTTTTTAAGATTTTATTTATTTATTTGACACAGAGAGAGAGAAAGAGAGAGATCACAAGCAGGGGGAGTGGCAGAGGGAGAAGCAGGCTTCCTGCTGAGCAGGGAGCCCGACAGGGGGCTCCATCCCAGGACCCTGGGATCGTGACCCGAGCCGAATGCAGATGCTTAACTGACTGAGCCACCCAGGCGCCCCTGATCGGATTTTAATCAGGTCTTGTCTCTGGGTCAAGGGCAGATGGTGATGGTGGAAGGAGGGGCTCTTCAGGGCTCCTCTGAGCCCTCTATGAGGGAAGGGTCCCCGCGGTGCCCCTTGAGGACAGTGCCAAAGGCAGAGCTCTGACTGTGTAAGTTATTCAAACATTTTATTGAAAATAAACTCACGCTCAAGGTAAAACATTGAAAAAAGTACAAAAGAATATACCTGTAGAGTGAAGAATGAGTGCCTGCTCTAGCCCAGAACGGTCCCAGAGGCAAACGCTGTATGTCTCCCAGAAATTTTTCATACTCTCTCTAGAAATACATCCATGTGTATATCCTCTAAAAAAAAAAAAAAAAGAACCCACAAAATCATACTGTCTGGCTTTTGCTTTTTTCGCATAACACAATTAGAGTTTTTTCAATAGCAGATATGCAGATCTTTTTCATTCTTTTTACCCTCCTCCGAATATTCCACAACATGAATGGACTATAATGCATTTAGCCTATTGTGAGGTATTTAAGTGTGATGTTTTGGCCACTATAAACAAAGCAGCAGTGCGCAGGCGCCATCCCCCACACGGGCAAATACATCAGTGGGATATGTTTCCAGCAGTGGAATTCGTTGGTGAGATGCCTCAGCTTGTCTTCACAGGATTGTTTGGGTGTCCTCACAATACTGGCTGGCTTCCCCGAGAGTGAGTGATTCAGGAGACCAAGACAGAAGCTGCACAGGCTTTTATGACCTGGCCTCTTCAATCATACCCATCACTTCTGCCGCTTTTATTGGTCACACAGACCAGCCCTCTCCAACACAACGGCAGACGTATGAGGAGGTGAGGATCATTGTGGGCCATCTTGGAGCCTGACTACCACAGGTTTGTTTGTTTGTTTTAAAGATTTTATTTATTTATTTGAGAGAAAGAGAATGAGAGAGAGCAAGCACATGAGAGGGGGGAGGGTCAGAGGGAGAAGCAGACTCCCCGCCGAGCAGGGAGCCCGATGCGGGACTCGATCCCAGGACTCCAGGATCATGACCTGAGCCGAAGGCAGTCGCTTAATCAACTGAGCCACCCAGGCGCCCTGTTTGTTTGTTTTTAAGATTTTATTTATTATGAGAGAGAGAGAGAGAGAGAGAGAGAGCATGAGCAGGGGGAGGGGCAGAGGGAG